GAGCAGACCCGTCCGGACCGGCGGCGCGGAGCGGGCAGGTCCCAGGGGCAGGATTGGCGGGAGTCCAGTTGCTCTTGTTATTACCAGGGTCATAATTTGCCTTCTCAGTCATTTAAGAGGCGTATTCATATCCCTGGGGGGCTGCAGATCCGCTTAAGGACTCTCGAAATTCTGATGAGCAGTTCATAACATGTAACAAATAATGTATATGACAAAAGATGAATTAAGGAAGACAAAACATTGGCAAATCCCAATGCTTATTTGAAAAGAGTGATAGAAAGCCTCATTAAGGAATAAAGAGACTGTAACTACAGATACAAGGAGGATTTTAGGAAGAGAGCAGTGTACAACTCTGTACCGTAAGTTTGAAAAAAAATCTTTAAAAAGGAAAAAGCAAACATCACTTTTCTTTGCTGTGTCCCACTTCCCCAAAGGTCCTATGATGCTCTAAGGGGAGTAGGGGCAGGCCAAATGTTCATATTCTGTTTATTATAATTTATAGTAGTATTGAGGTGTTTGGAAATTTTAATTATTAGCAGTTTTTGAACTATTTATTATGTTTATTGAGTTCTTTCACAGACTCTGGCATGAATCCAGGGTGAATCATCAACCTATTGTCTGTTTGTTAATATTCTGTAAATGTTTATTGGTGTCCTTATACCATACACTCTCCCCGAAGGAGTAAAGATCTGTATATAATAGAATAATTAAGGGATATTCACTCATCTATTTCTAAGTGATAGTTTTCTCTTTGGAATATCTATTCATATTATAATTTCCACATCCAATGGTTTCTTTTAAGAATAATTTGGACTAGCAGATATTATTGGATTGTGACCCAAGAGATCTGGAAATAAATGGGTCCTTCCCATTACGTTTCTGAGTACCTTTCAGCAAGAAAAATCCTCTTTACTGCAGTTCCTTCAGCTATGAAATGAGGAAACTAGTTAATTCCTGCTTATATATCCAATAATATGAGAACTGAATTTTACAACATTGTAAGTTCAGTAAAACTGCTTTCAACATTCTAGGTTTGAATAGAACTTTTTGACATCAGTTTGGAAATATGAGGGATAAAGTGTATTCATTACATGGCTTTAGTTTCCATCAAAATCTACATTCACAGGAGCACTGTTTCTTTCTTTTTTTTTTTTTTTTTTAAAAAAGATGACCGGTAAGGGGATCTTAACCCTTGACTTGGTGTTGTCAGCACCACGCTCACCCAGTGAGCGAACCGGCCATCCCTATATGGGATCCGAACCCGTGGCCTTGGTGTTATCAGCACCGCACTCTCCCGAGTGAGCCACAGGCCGGCCCCAGGAGCACTGTTTCTAATGAAGTTTCAGCTCTGTGCTGGGCAATGAACAACCATTCCAAGATGATGCCTGTGGATCCCGCGGTGCCATTCAAGCAGCTAGGAGAGAGGCTCTCAAATTAGGAAACATTTACTATAGTATTGGGGATTGGCATTGTTTTCATTTTATTTATAAAAATGTAGATTTTGAAGTCTCCAAATTCCACAGAATTACAAGGCATAATATTATGGTATCAGACCATAAAATTAGCAAAATAGACCTATTTAACTGTAACAATCCCATGCAAGAATTGTGGTCCAGCCATAAAGACAGAGTACACACTTTCTTCCAAGGATCTGAGAAGCTAATAATGTAGTCCCAATAACCTTCGTAATAACAACTATTAAACCATTGATTGAAAGCTTATTATGTCCCTAGCACCATGCTCAGCGCTACGTTCTTTAGCCCATATAGTCCTGACAACAGCCCATGAAGTGTATTATTATTCTCTCCATTTTAAAGTTCAAGGAACTGGGGCTTAGGGAAGTTAAATAACTTGCTGAAGGTTAAAGAGGTCAAATATCTAGTGGGATTTCTTTCCAATTGTGAAATTAGGAAAAGTTTTCTTATTCTCTTTTCAGCAAGCTTTAGAAAATGGGGATTACTTTGGTTATTGAATCTGAAAACATCAAGGACTTTTGTTAGTTATTTTATGTATTTTACTACAGGCAAGAAGTTTTTGTTTTTTTGTACATAGAGGTCACATTAGAAATGTAATATCATTGTTTAAAAGAAGATGGGGAAAGAAGGATTTGTAATAAATGATGTTGGAGCGACAGGATAGCTCTATGGGAAAACAAAAGCAACACAGACACACATAAAAACTAGATTCATATTACTTCTAAACACACCCCCTCCCAAAATTACAGATGGATATTTTTTAAATGTAAGAAATGAAACCACTAAACCACTATTTCTTAAGTTGAGTTTACTAGTGTTTATTTTATTATTGCCCTGTATAACCTACATACACATTATACATATTCTTTTGTAGAATGCCAGGTATTTTATGATTTTTTTAAATAAAAGAATAAATGTATTGGAGGAATACTGAAACTTTTTCAAATCATGGATTGAGGAAGCTCTTTCTAAGCATGACAGGAAACCCAGAAGCCATAAAGGAAAAACACCAATAAATTTTACTGCATGAATATTTTACGTCTCTATGAGGCATAAATACACCATGGCAATCCAAGAAACAAGCATACTGGGGGAAAATATTTTCAACACCTATAAGCAAGAGCTAACTTCCTTATTATAAAAAGCTTTTCCAAATCTGTAAGAAAAAACTCAATAGAAAAGGGAACAAAATATATGGACAAAAATTCACAGAAAAAAATGTGTTCAATAAACATATGATGCAATCATAATAAAACAAATGCATGTCAAAATCATCTCTCAGGGCCGACCCCGTGGCTCACTCGGTAGAGTGCGGCGCTGGTAGCACCGAGGCCACAGGTTCGGATCCTATATAGGGATGGCCGGTGCGCTCATTTTAAATGTGACCACTAGAAAATTGCAAATTATTGGGCCAACCCCATGGCTCACTCGGGAGAGTGCGGTGCTGGGAGTGCAGTGGCGCTCCGGCCACGGGTTCGGATCCTATATAGGGATGGCCGGTGCGCTCACTGGCTGAGCGCGGTGCGGGTGACATCAAGCCAAGGGTTGCGATCCCCTTACCAGTCACAAAAAAAAAAAAAAAAATCATCTCTCAGATTAAGAACATTTTTTTTTTACTTCATAGTATCCAGTATTGATAAAAGTGTGGGAAAACAGGCAGTCCGATACACTGTTGGTAAGAATGTAATCATTCCATTTTTAGAATACAATTTGGTACCATGTATCAAAATGTTAAATATCTCTACACTTTGACCCNTTTGGAATATCTATTCATATTATAATTTCCACATCCAATGGTTTCTTTTAAGAATAATTTGGACTAGCAGATATTATTGGATTGTGACCCAAGAGATCTGGAAATAAATGGGTCCTTCCCATTACGTTTCTGAGTACCTTTCAGCAAGAAAAATCCTCTTTACTGCAGTTCCTTCAGCTATGAAATGAGGAAACTAGTTAATTCCTGCTTATATATCCAATAATATGAGAACTGAATTTTACAACATTGTAAGTTCAGTAAAACTGCTTTCAACATTCTAGGTTTGAATAGAACTTTTTGACATCAGTTTGGAAATATGAGGGATAAAGTGTATTCATTACATGGCTTTAGTTTCCATCAAAATCTACATTCACAGGAGCACTGTTTCTTTCTTTTTTTTTTTTTTTAAAAAAAGATGACCGGTAAGGGGATCTTAACCCTTGACTTGGTGTTGTCAGCCCCACGCTCCCCCAGTGAGCGAACCGGCCATCCCTATATGGGATCCGAACCCGTGGCCTTGGTGTTATCAGCACCGCACTCTCCCGAGTGAGCCACAGGCCGGCCCCAGGAGCACTGTTTCTTTCTTTTTTTTTTTTTTAAAAAAAGATGACCGGTAAGGGGATCTTAACCCTTGACTTGGTGTTGTCAGCCCCACGCTCCCCCAGTGAGCGAACCGGCCATCCCTATATGGGATCCGAACCCGTGGCCTTGGTGTTATCAGCACCGCACTCTCCCGAGTGAGCCACAGGCCGGCCCCAGGAGCACTGTTTCTAATGAA